AAAAAAAAAAAAAAAAAAAGAACTTCTGTTGAGCCAGGGAAAACCACTTCCTAGCAGGGAAGGGGTCCTGGGCAGGAGGGGAAGTGGGGACCCACACCAGGCAGCTACCTCCCCGGGCAGAGTCAGAGACACATGGGCATTCAGGAAGAACTAGCAGTAGCCAGCCCAGTGAGAGAGAAAGTCTCTTTCTCCCATATTCCCTCATATACCTCTGCCTATTTGTCCCAGTTTGAATTTCTTTGCCTTGGGAGTCCACCCTGAGAAGTCCCTTCCTTCCTTCCTGCGTCCAGCTGTCCCCTCTGGATGCCCCTACCTTCCCATCTCCAATCCCCCTCCCCTCCCCTGTTCCCTTTGACCTCCACCATCTCCCTTTCAGACCCTTCTCAGGCTTCAGTGGGCCTTTTCTTGGGGACATCCCTTCTCCAACTTCCAAGCCTCCTCCCTTGTTCCAGAGGTCACCTCTTGCCTCAAAGACTGGGTTCCTGCCGGGTGCGGTGGCTCACGCCTGCAATCTCAACACTTGGGGAGGCCAAGGTGAGAGAATTGCCTGAGTCCAGGGGTTCAAGACCAGCCTGGGCAACTTCGTGAGACCTCCTCTCTACAATAAATCAAAAAAATTAGCCAAGCCTGTTGGTGCACGCCTGTAGTACCAGCTACCTGGCAGGCTGAGGTGGAAAGATCACCTGAGCCTAGCAGGTCGAGGCTGCAGGGGCAGTGAGTGTCCCACCGCACTCCAGCCTGGGCGAGAGTGAGACTTCGACTCAAAAAAAAAAGAGACACGGTTCCTTAAGGAGGCTCCTCCCCTGCTAGGACTCATGTCCCATTCGGCGCCTTTCTTAACTCTCCCCTGAAGAACTCCTTTCTAGATCCTAAGCCCCAACCTGGGGGAAAGGGGCACCCCCAAATCCAAATCCAGTCCTTGCCCCCTCCCCCGCCTCACACTCCCAAGCCTCCCTCCACCCCGAGGGCCCCTCTCGGGGAAAGACCTCCTCGGGTGCGCCCATTCGCGTCAGTGTCCACGCCCTGCCCCCAAGCCCTCCCTCTGCCGCACTGTCCCTGGCTCCAAAACCTGTCCCCGCTGTCGCCTACTTCCGGTGTCTTCCCCGAGATTCTCTCCCATCAGCAGTTTCCCGCCCTGTCCAAACACCCCCTCTCCACCCTGCAAGGCCGGGTTCTTGTCCCTGGAGACTCCTCCCGCCGGCAAGGCCTCCCTCCCCTGCTCCAATGTCTCCCGTTCTTCTCCAAAGCTCCCTCGACACCCCCAGGGACCCCCCCTCCAGGGAAGCCCCCTCCCCACCTCCAAGGCCTTCTCCCTCCCCCGAGACCGTGCCTCGCGAGTTACCTCCCCTGTTTCAAAAGCCCCCAACCATCTCCAGTGTCACCCCAGCTGCACGGCCCTTTCCCCCGGGCCCCCGGCCCCAATGCCCCCTCGCCTGGAC